AGAGTAACAGGCTACTCTCTCTAGTATACATGATTTTGACCTGTGTAGTATCTTTTCACATGTTGTATTATAATTAATTATAAGATATTTCCGTTTTAAAAATTTTACTGTTAAAAATATCAGTGTATCTCAGAAGAAAAGAAACATTGAACATATATTTTTGGTTAAGAGCAAAACAAGTTGAAGTAGCAGATTCTTGCATTTCTGCATTTATAAGGCAAAATTCATTATGAGTTCAAAACATGTCTTAATTTAAAATAATAGTTCATTAGTGAATGCCAAGAGACATTGTTAATATGAGGAGATACAAGGAACATAGAAGTAGTTAAAAATTGAACTAAGAAGGACAGGGGACTATATGGACTTGAACTATGGAAAAAAATAGAAATGCATTCAAGAAAACTATTGATTAGTGAACCCAGATTTCCCTGTTTACTTATCTTAAAACACCTAGTTAGTACCAAATAAAAGATTCAGATAAGAAAACAAAATTATAAAATATTTGTCTGCCAGACATCGTGGCTCATGACTATAATCTACACTTTGGGAGGCCAAGGTGGGTGGATCATTTGAGGCCAGGCGTTCGAGACCAGCCTGGCGAACATGGTGAAACCCTGTCTCTACTAAAAATACAAAAATTAGCCTGGCATGGTGGCAAGTGCCTGTAATCCCAACTACTTGGGAAGCTGAGGCAGGAGAATCGCTTGAACCTGGGAGGCAGAGGTTACAGTGAACTGAGATCATGCCACTGCACTCCAGCCTGGGCAACAAAGTGAGACTGTCTCAAAAAAATAAAATACTCATCAATTATTTGCTTAGCAGCAACTATACATTACTGAAAAACAGCTCTTATTTAAAAAAACAAATGGTACAAAATATCTTTAATACTCCCTCCCTAAAATAACACCGCAGATATGTTGATTATTCCTTAACATATCTGTGCCACTGCAGGTATTTTCTCTTGATACATTTCTGGAAGTAGAATCACTGGATCAAAGGGTAGGAATATTTTTATAAGACCCCCTTTACATACTGTCAGATTGTATTCCTGAAAAGTCTGTCAACTTACAAGGTTTTTGTTCTTTTCAGTTAAATGATATAAGAACAGTTTTGAATTTTCTTCTTCAACATTTTCCTCCATTGAAAAAGATGGTAAAAATGCTGAAGATATATAAATAAATCTAAAAATGAAAGGAAGGGAAGGTAAAGAAGTTTATGTTCAATGATATTTCCATGTTATTAATTTGCAAATTTCACTTTTAATGGTTGTTTAATATTCTGTTATATTGAGATACAATAATTTACTTAACCATTTCTAAAATGTTATAAATATATATATATTTATATTTGTGAATAAAGAATCAATCAACTTGTTTATGTATAAATTTAATCCACATTTCAGGTTATTTTTAAGTAATATTACATTTCTGAAGAGAAAACACTGTGACAAAGTTACAAATATTTTCAATGCCAAATTAATCTGAAGTGGTTGTAACAATTTATAGTTCCATTGACAGTGTGTGATATTTTTCCATCTTGACCTTCTTGCCAACATAAAATAGTTTTTAAAATTTAATTTTATTATTCTTTGTAGATAAATGAATTAAGATGCCACCTATTTTAAATTATATTTTAAAAAATTATCCAAGTGCTATTTCTAGCTTTTTGGATTAGTAGAATGTTTGGTTGTTAGAGTTTGAAGGGGGTTCAGCTCCCTACCCAATGCAGGAATCATTGCTCTTCTTTCAAGTATATCAAATTATTTTATGGGATGAAACTTGGCCTTTCTAATAGTGTCCTCAGCCAATTGTACTTTGTCTTAGAATAAAGGAAATTATTTTTTCCACATTTAGAAACTTGTATGTAAACTTGTAGGTACATTTATAATGCTGTCATTTGAAAACAAAACATATATGCCATTTTTATTCTAACAGTCTCTGCCTTCTGCCAAACTTAAAAAAAGCCAGAAGTTAGGTAGTGTCAAAATTAAACAATTTATGTCAAAAATAAATCATTAGAGGTGATATTTTACAGTTAAGAAGTGTGACTTTTCTTATTCATTTAATAAAATAAGATGGTCTTACTAAAATTCTACCCAATAGTGTTGTTTTGGTTGGTCTAGATTTGGGGGAAAAAAAAAAAAAAAGGTTTTGGCAGGGATGAAAAACATAGCAAAGGAGATAATTGCTGTGGCCTGTGCCAAATAAGACATTCTGATGTTCAAGCTCTTTGCTAGGAGAAAGCATACTATATGAAAGAAGACTTGCTGAAAAGAGTTGTTGGCAACTACTCTGATTAATAAAGAAGTGTGTATGAAAGCCTGGATTATGATAGTTTGAATAATGAATAGGAGGTAGGTAAGGTAAAGATAGTTAATGTAAAGGAGGCTTTCAAAACATTGGTTGAGGAAGGAAAGAAATAGATGCCATCAGATATTGAGAGAGAAGAAGAAAATAGGGATTCACATTCTCAGGTGAATAGATTAATTCAGGTTTGTAGGCTATGTTTAAGGAGCCTGAAGTGAGGTAGAAATACAGTGGATTGCAGAGGAGACTAGAGGAGATGCAACTAGAAGTAAATGCTTTGTTTTGGGAAGTTTTTCTCCATTGAGAGATGGTAAAAATACTGAAGACATATAAGTAAATCCAAAAATAAAAGGTAGGGGGAAGGTAAAGCAATTTGTATTCAGTGATATTTTTTTCCTCTCAGAGTTGACAACTGTGGTTATCTGCAAAAAATGTTGTGAGGATAAAGTTGAACAACTAAAGACAGGGGCAGCAACTACGGAGCATGGAAAAGGGAACTTCTTGTGGATGAATAAAGATTGCTATAATAATACTCACTGAGGTTAGAAATAAGATATATATGTTATGTGTGTGTATATATATATTTATCATGATGATGCATTTATAAATGTGATTTTTCTCCAGTAGCTCCAGGCAGTATGAAGAAAGTAAACAATTTAATTGAACCTGGGTTCTCAAGGGACACTGTAGAGATGATTAAAGGTGTTTGTTGGAGTATGGTCAAAATGATTGACCACGTAGTTGTGGCAAATAAGAAAGGAAAGGGAGTCATAGGGAGCTATGGAGGGGTGGGAAGCAGTAAATTACAACCAGAAGACAAAAAACAAATTTAGTAAGGATGGGAGAAATGAAATGATTGACGGCAGTGGTAAAAGGAGAATTTTACAGTTCAGAATTTCAGAGGTAATGCAGTCCCAAGTGATAACAGTATCCAGAATATATCACAGTGAGCAGGTTGCTGAATTAGATAGAGGTGAAGGAGGTAAAGTTCTTTAGAGTAGATAAGGTCAGGAGTGAACTATAGTTGAGGATTTCTTAAAAACGAGTGGCATTTCAACAGCGTTTGTGGTTAAAGTGAAGATATATACAGGTATATGGTGCTTAACTATGGGGGCTATTCTGATAAATGGGTCGTTAGGCAATTTCATCACTGTGCAAACATCACAGAGTGTGTGTATACAAACTTAAACGGTGTAGCCTACTAAACATCTAGGCTATATAGTTATAGCCCATAGCCCTTAGGCCATAAACTTGTACAGTATGTTACTATCCTGTGTGCTGTAGGCAGTTGTAAGACAGAGTTTTTGTGTATCTAAACATAGAAAAGGTACAGTAAAAATACAGTATTATTATCTTATGGTTCCACCTTCAAGTATGTTCTGATTGAAACACTGTTATATGGCACATGACTGTATGTATTTGAGGTTTTTTTTTGTTTTTGTTTTTGTTTTTTTAAGATAGGGAGGTATCCTGATAGCTGCAGATCAACAGATTGAGTGTTTCAAAGGAAACTGTTAAAGGAGTTTGGAATGGAAAGGTCTGTCAGGAAAGATAAATCTGAATTTGATGATGGTGAGAAAGCAGGATAACAGATGGGAGTGGTTTACACTGAGTTATGGCTATAGACTAGAGGAATATAGAGATAGTGAAATGGAAGTATTGGGAATATGAGTAAAACAAGCCTGCTACAAGATTCCATTTAGATGTAGGTGTAAAGTTGGAGTCCATCCTTCAAAACTTTACTGTGTATTTTACATGAACTTTCAAAATTATCTCAGATTATATAAAAGTAAAATTGGTCTCATATATGATTGATTTCCTAAGGAAACAAAGGAAGCTGTAAAAGCCACAAAAGCCTACTATTGTAGGATCTCCTGAAGTGCTACATGGAACGTGCTCAATAGCTGTGATTTGAATGAATTCTCTTTTCTCCAAGTACTAGTAGACTTCTAATAGATAAAAGCAAAATAGGTTGTTTTTATTATGTCTTTTATCTTCTTGTTATATTTACCATTCTTTGAAAATAGTTTAAATCTTTTATCAGTTTTAAAGCCATGGAATATTTTAACCACTAATTAGGAAAAGGTCTTTTAGGTAATAGGAATGGATTTAGGTATAGCACATGTCTACCTTTTCTTTCATACCATCTAATGCACTGACAAATAGGTATTGAATGGAACCTAAGACCGTTCTCTTTTTTTTCTCTCCCTTTTTCCTTATTCTTGGCTCTTCGCCACTCTTTTTCCTGCATTTTTTCCTTCTCCTCATCTTATTGCTTGTTTAGAACACCTGCTAAAATTCACAGCCATTATTTGTTTCCACCAATAACATTAAAAGCTGGAAAAAAATTGCTATCCCAACCATTAAAATAATATGCTTTGAAGTTACTTTTTAAGATATAAAGGTGATAGCTCAATTAAATGAAACATTTATACTTTTGTTTACATACTCCTGGTTAATTAACATTCAGCCTCTTGTTGTGTAAAAGTTTCCATTTAACTGCTAAAATAATTGCTTGTTAACATTTCATAAATTGCTTATTACAGTTATTTTATCTCCAACTTCCATTTTATGTCTCAAACATATCCTCTGTATGTGAAAATGCATTCTATTGACTTGACCTTCAAATTAAATGGTCTGCATTTTTGGCAACAATGACATATAATAACATATTCTTTTTATTCTTTAAAATAGATTTGGACTGAGCAACAAATTTGAATCAGAATTCCCATCTTCGTTAACTGGAAAAGTGAGTATCTCATTTTTGTACTGTTTGTATGCCTCAAAATGAGAGTTTTTTTCTGAAAAAAATAGAAAAAATATGCTAATCAGTCATGTTTTTTGACATTAATATTTCATTGTTATTATTTCTTATTTCTTTAGGTAGCTCCTGAGGAATTCAAAGCCAGCATCAACAGAGTTAACAGTTGTCTTAAGAAGAACCTTCCTGTTAATGTACGTTGGCTACTTTGTGGCTGCCTTTGTTGCTGCTGCACATTAGGTTGCAGTATGTGGCCAGTTATTTGCCTCAGTAAAAGAGTAAGTTGAATTATATATTTTAACTTAAGTTTAGAAGTGGACAAGGAAGTCTTGCATTTATTTTTATATCGAATGAATCACACTGTCCTGAATACAATATGAAAATAATCTGATCCAGGAGAGGAGTGACTCAGTAAAGTTATTATATATCCAAGTGCTGTTATTAAATAGCCATCTAAAAATTATATTTATAATTTTAGGAGCAAAGAGTAGAACATGGCAGTATCTCTGTCTGTATATTGATGGTGGTGTAGTATAGTGATCAAGGATGCTGGCTTCAGCTACCACTTATCTGTATGACCTTAAGCATGTTTCCTAACCTCTTTAAACCCTACTTGACACAACTGTAAAATGTTCACCTACTACTTGAATAGGATTGTTGTAAAGGTAAAATTAAAATGTTTGGAAAGCTCTTAGCTGAATAGCTCAAAGGAAGTGGTGAATAAGTATTGGTTAATAGTATTCTTACTAATAGTAAGATAGTACCCATAGAAGAAATAAAATGGTTACAATGGCTGTTTCTAGTTGGTAATTATGGGACATTCTTTTCTTCCTTTTATATTTTACAAATTTTCTGTAATGAGCACAAAGTGATTCTGTAATCAGAAAAAAATAACTTTAAAGACTCATCATTTTGACTGCTTATAATAAAAAATTCCGGCTGGGCACAGTGGCTCATGCCTGCAATCGCAGCACTTTGGGAGGCCATGGTGGGCGGATCACTTGAGGTCAGGAGTTCGAGACCAGCCTGGCCAACATGGTAAAACCCCATCTCTACTAAAATTTTAAAAAATTAGCCAGGAGTGGTGGCCGGCACCTGTAATCCCAGTTACTCAAGAGGCTGAGGTAGGACAATCACTTGAACCTGGAAGGTGGAGGTTGCAGTGAGCTGAGATTGTACCATTGCACTCCAGCCTGGGCAACAAGAGTAAAACTCTGTCTCAAAAACAGATAAACAAAAAAATGTTGAAGATGTTGGTAGAGATATGACAGATTATTATCGATTGCATATTTTTGTTAAAATTTTTAAAAATTATGTTTTTATGTATAAAAATAATATATTTTAATTTTTTTTTAAATATATATTTTAAATAAACAGTGACAGGGTTTCACTCTCTTGCCCAGGCTGGTCTCGAACTTCTGGGCTCAAGCAATCTGCCCTCCTTGGCCTCTCAAAGTGCTAGGATTATAGGCGTGAGCCACTGCACTGAGCCAAAAATGATATTTTGTTAAGTTGGAAATAAATGAACGGTTTTATGTGGCTGGATTTTGACAACCAATAATAGTAGGAAGTATGGATGAGCAAATTCTCTTTGTCTCTTTATTTCTGTTATAAAATAAAAGATATATTCCTACTAAAATTTTTTAAACTGGTACATTCTATTGATAGGAAGGAATTAATGCCTTTGTAGTACAATGACTTTTGTAATATTTACTTTAATATTTCTAATATTTGCTTTTTTCTAAAAATTGTTCTTTTTTTCTTTTTTTTTTTTCGTAGTTTTCACCAGATTACCTTTACACCACAGAATATTTTCTTCACTTCTGGTGGTCTCTGGGTCCACTGTTGATTTTGTTGCTATTATAGTTTGGATCCCTTTGTTCCCTTCCACTATGTGGGCATTTCCATTGTTTCAGTGCCTGCTGTATGTCACTTGGTTGGTAATTGCTATCATTTAACCCAAAGAATCATAAGAGTTTTAATATTGTAGATACCTTTGAGATCTGGCTTTTTTGTTTGTGCTTGGTTTTGTTTTGATATCCTTTTAAAAAAACTTTTAAATGAGTAACATAAGGTGTTACAGTGTGTGTACAGTGTATTTAGAAAACAAAGGTAAATGAGTTAAACTTTACATTCTTATCAACTTGAGATCCTTTTTGAAATGCCTTCATTAAATTCCTTCTTATGTGAGATGTAAGGTTGACTTTTTTAAGCTAGTTTCATCTGTGGTTTCAGAAAGTACATTTCATTTAACATTTTAGTGTTCAGTCTAAGGTCTCTTCTTTGTATTTTATATGACTAGGTGGAATATTTATTTGCTATATTCAATTTTATATGGACTACTATCCAGGAAGCATAAACAAACATGACTTGCTTTTTAAAAAAGCTGTATGTATCTGTGTCTTGAGTGTAAACTATTATATAACCATGGTAAGAGTGACACTTCCTGCATGTATGAAGTATATTACAGGCCGTGGAGAAAGAGGCATTTTGTAAGATGAGGGCAAAATAATTTAGAGCAGGGATTTTTAACTTTTTATTTGCCATAGATCCTTTTGGTGGTTTAGGGAAGCCTATGAATGCTTTCTTAGCTGCTTTATATGTATTTAAAAATATTTAATATATTCTAAATATATAAAGTAAAATATATGGGATTACAAAAGAAACCAGTTATATAAAATAGTTATCAAAATACTAGAAAACGTCAATGTGATTTATAAATATGTTTATTAATGTCTAAAAATAAGACAGAAGCAGATCCATGGTAATAATGATAAGATAGGAAGAATCTGTGATTTCTATAAGTGATGAAGGTACAGGTCCTGTTTAGTCTATTACAGTTAGTTGCATACATTCATAACCTAAGGAAATGTAATACATTTCAGTTAGTGCTGTTTTGTCTTGCCTTTAAAATCCATCTCCTCACGAGGTCAGGAGATCGAGACCATTCTGACCAACATGGTGAAACCCCATCTCTACTAAAAATACAAAAATTAGCTGGGTATGATGGTGATTGCCTGTAATCATAGCTACTTGGGAGGCTGATGTAAGAGAATTGCTTGAACCAGGGGGTCAGAGATTGCGGTGAGCTGAGATTGTGCCACTGCACTCTAGCCTGGCAACAGAGCAAGACTCCATCTCAAAAAAAAAAAAAAAAAAAATCCGTGACCAACTTCGTGCCCTCTTTTTATGACCTGATATTATTCCCAAGACCTTGTTTTTATTTTGTCCTATTATTATTATTACTGAGATGGAGTTTTATTCTTGTCCGGTCTGGAGTGCAATGGTGCCATCTCCACTCACTACAACTTCTTCTTCCCAGGTTCAACCAATTCCCACCACACCGGGCTAATTTTTTTTTTTTTTTTATGAGATGGACTATCACTCTTGTTGCCCAGACTGGAGCGCAATGGTGTGGTCTTGGCCTACCGTAACCTTTGCCTCCCGGGTTCAAGCAATTTTCCTGCCTCAGCCTCCCGAGTAGCTGGGATTTCAGGTGCCTGCTACTCCTGGCAAATTTTTGTGTTTTTAGTAAAGATGGGGTTTTACCATGTTAGGCCAAGCTGATCTTGAGCTCCTGACCTCCAGTGATCTGACCGCCTCGGCCTCCCAAAGTGCTGGGATTACAGGCGTGAGCCACTGTGCCCAGCCTGTTCTTTTTTTAATTGTTTTTTAGACCTTCTAAATTGCCTTTTTTTCTTTTTAACTACCTTTGCCTATTTTTAAAAATTATTTTTTAATATACAGTAAAATTTTTGTTTACAGTTCTGTGATTTTTGATAAATGTGTAGAGCTATGTAACCACCACCACCACAATCAAGATTCATTACCGTTTTCTGTAAAAAACTTACTTGTGCTGTCCCTCTGTAGTTGGACCTTTGTCAGCTCTTAAACCTAGGCAGCCAGTGATCTGTTGTCTATCCCTACAATTTTGTCTTTTCTAGAATATTATATAAATGGAATCAAATAGTATATATAACTTTTTGAGTCTGGTTTCTTTCATGTAGCTTAGTGCATTTGAGATTCATCTATTTTGCTTTATTTATTAATAGTTTATTCTTTTTTATTGTTGAGTAGTATTCCATTGTATGGACGTATCACAGTTTGTTTATACATCGATCAGTTGAACACATTGAGTTGTTTCCAGTTTTTGAATAAAGCTTGCCTTAAACATTCACATGCATGTTTTTGTGTGAACGCAAGTTTTTATATTTTAGGAAGGGGATTGCTGGGTTATATCGTAAGTGTATGTTTAATTTTATAAAAGATTTCCAAACTGCTTTCCAAAGTTGGTAAACCATTTTGCATTCCAGCCAGCAATGCATGAGAGGTCCAATTGCTTAGCATCCTTGCAGGACTTGGTATGGTTAGTTTTAGAAATTATAGCCATTCTAATAGATATATAGTAGCATTTCTTTGTGGTTTTAACTTGTATTACCTTCATGAGTAATGATATTGAGCACCTTTTCACGTGTTTATTTGCCATCTGTACATCTTTGTTAGAGTGTTCATTGAAATATTTTGCCCATTTAAAAATGGTTATTTCTTGTTGAGTTTTGAGAGTTCTTCATATAATTCTGAATGTAAGTCCCTTGCCAGATATGTGCAAATATATATTTTCAGTCTTTTTGTTCTCCAGCAGTGTCTTTGGCAGAACAAAAGGTTTTGCTTTTGACAAATTCATTACTTTAAAAAAAAAACAGATTGTGCTTTTAGTGCAGTATCTAAGAATTTAGTTAAACTAAGGTCATGACAATTTTCTCCTATGATCTCTTTATTTTACTTTTAGGTGTATGGCTCATTTTGACTCAGGTTTTTATATGGGTGTGAGGTATGGGTCAAACTTTTTTTTTTTTTTTTTTTTTTTTTTTTGCGTATGACTTTCTAGGCTTTTCCAGTACCATTTTTTGAAAAGACTATCCTTTTCCCTTTCAAGGGAAAAGTTGCTGTTGTACATGGTCAAAAATCAGTCAACAATATCTGTGTAGGTTCTTTCCACACTCTATTCTGTTCTATTGATCTATATACCTCTCTTGATTAAATATCACAATGTCTAGTTTACTGTAGCTTTTTTTTTTCTTTTTTAATTAAAAAGGATACGTGGGCTTGCTATATTGCCCAGGTAGGTCTCGAACACCTGGGCTCAAGCAGTTCTCTCATCTTGGCCTCCCAAAGTGTTGGAAATTACAGATGTGAACCACTACGCCCAGCCTACTGTAGCTTTATATTAAGTCTTGAAATCAGGTACAGTGAGCCTTTCAAATTTTTTCTTATTTTT